CCCCGGAGGTAGTACGAAATACCAGTTCGTATATTTAAACGTAGTTAGCGTTGTTCAATTTAATTGGACTTCGTATGTTTAAATGGCCGGGCGGGCCAAGGAAAACCTTCTCGGAGGTAGTCTAAAATACCTTTTCGTATATTTAAAAGTCCGTATATTTAAATATAGTTACCGTACACAATTAGTATATAGTTATATTAATACATATGTGTTATATATACATTAATGTGTTTTTTCTACGTTTTACTATCATCAGATCTGCTGCTGAAAACGATTATAAACTCATCAGCCATATCTATGTACTAAACTTGTCTAGATTTGCATATATTAAATGTTACTAGAAACTTAAATAAATGTTTTTTTCTTTTAATCACATATATATTTATATATATCATACATCTATGAAATAGTGCATTGATTTCCTATCTACTATCTCTCTCTCTCTCTACTATCTCTCTATTTTTCATTATCTATATCTATACATCTATAATATCTACTTACTATATTTTACTATACCCAACGAAGTACTGTGATTTTGTTGCGTTCTTCTTGTAGGCCGGCGCCAACTCAGCGCTGGTGCTGGTCACCGCCGAGGGCTTTGCGCTGCGCGTCTCACTGGGGCAGGTGGGATGTCATGATGGTTTAGTGCGGATTTAATGGCTATTTAATGGGTTTGATAATGGTTTAATGGGATATTTCATAGGATGTTAGAAGCAACCAACTTGATTTCTATAGAGTTTTTAATGGATTGTACATGGGTTGGTCTGATAATTTTGGGAAACCATTCCAGTTGTCATTTTCCCTATGCTTTAATAGCCATTTGGGGGTATACCCTTTTTTCAGAGACGGCCACATGATCATACGTACCTTGTTTTTCCATGCCAGACTTGGAGTAAGGGGAAATGCACACGACAACACTTGTTTGAAGTGACTATTTGAAGGTAAAAATAGCATTGGTTTGTCAAAAAATGAGATTATACCCCAAAGTGACAATTTTCATGGAAACATGATGATCAATAACATTTTATAGATTTTGGGGTGCCAGATTTTCAGAGAAACCCAAGTAAATCTCTATTTGTTCTTGCTTAATTCACCATTTTTGTTGGTTAGATCCGTTTTTCTGCTGCTTAAAAACCCCACATTTTATGCTGGTGAAATCATAGTGAAATCCCTATATTTTGGTATATTTTGGTTGTTTAAATCCGATTAAATTCCATTAAATCCACCAATTTTGTTGGTGAAATTGCCATGGGGTGCACTTTTGGCCGCCAGGATTGGTTCCTCAGTACCGCTAAGGGGCCGGCTCGCCCCAGATCGGCCGGGGAATTGGTCCAAGAAAATAGGGATTTAACGGTGATTTAATGGTGATTTTTCTGGGATTGTATGGTGATTCAATGGGACTTCACGATGATTCAATGGGATTGGATAATTGATATTTAATAGTTGGTGAGGCCCATTATCTATAAGTTGAGGCCCCAGAGTTATAAGTTGGTTTATAGTCCAGGTCCAATAAACCATAGAATTCACCAAGTCATGTGCGTCAACTTAGCTATCGTTTGGGAGCCTTACCTTGTAGGAATGGGAATTGATATAGGACTTCCATGTGAATATATGAGAATGGAATATAATAGGATAATCAAACATGGCTGACTTGGGAAATCATTGACAAATATGGAAGTGTCTAGGTTTCAATGGGACAATTGGATTTTCGATCAAACGATGTTTGCCACTGGGTATGTCTTGAATTTGTTTGTTATTTCTCCATGGCTTTCTTCATGGGATCTGGAATAGAATGGATATGTCTTTCTTTTGGCATTGAAACTATCCCAACCTTGGATGGGATAGGTTAGTACTGACTATTTTTGTTGCTATAGATGGGAATGTTTACTAAGTAGCTCAAAGGAAATGCTGGCTGTCTCAGGTGGTCCATGATATAGAATATGGATGGTCCAATATTACTCCCATTTTTAGTGGTTTCTTTTGTAATGTCCATATTCTATCTGCTCCAGGATGATTATAGCTAAATGTACAACTACAAATCCCGATCCTTGGACTTATTTGCCTCATTGAAGATACTCGCTTGGCTTGAATCTCTGATCACAAATGTGTGGGACACGGACGGGATAGAATCGCACCATATCGCACCCTTGGAGTTGTTTCATATTTCAGTGAGATAGCCGATGCAGTGCCATGCAGCCGCCGGAATGTAGCGAAGAAGCCAAAAACTATACGGGCTGGTGGTTTCAAACTTTTTTTATTTTCCATAATTATGGGATAATCCTTCCCATTGACTTTCATATTTTTCAAGATGGTTAAAACCACCAACCAGTATAGGTTTAGAGCATAACTATGCGGCTGTGTACGTTCTGGCAGCCATTGGCTCGAGGGTGATATCACAGAGACCTTAATTGAAACATCGACACCGCAGGGGAGATTCCAACACTCCGCACGTATCATAGCGGATATGTGGTTTGTCTATTTTTTTTTACTTGATGAAGGTGGTGGAAAACCACCAGGCACAACTTGGAATATCCAAGTAGTGGGAATGTGTGCCAGTTGTGTTTGTATTTTTCTTGGGTATAGTATGCCCTGAAGAATCAGCTTAACCTGATGATCAACTATGCCCTGAACATTTCCACCAGGGGATCCTTTTCGTAGAGACTCTTGCCTCATTGGAATGGACATGGACCCCACAAAAAAAAAAAAACTATTTCACGGATTGCTAGTTTCAAAATGATTCAATCCAGTTCAATCCAGTTCAGTAAAATCATAATCCTGTATATATAATTATATAATATTATATATATATGCATATCCATACATGTTTTTTTTTTTTAATCCATCTATTGCCATCTGTCAATATCTGTCATCTGTCTTTATCAATATGGGAGCACCAATTCCTCCAATGCTTTGGCCTTTTTCGCCGGGATCCTGGGGATGGGTGCCGACGCTGCCGACGCGAACAACATCCAGCAGGCTGGGCCAGTTTTTTTTTGGCTGAAAAGATGCGATTCCTTTGAGGAAAATCATAGAAATATAGAAAATCATGGAAAATCATAGAAATGTATAGAGAATCAATGAACATCTATCTGTCATCATAGAAAATCATAGAACAGATAAAAAAAGGAAGCGAACAGGTTTGAAACATGTTGACATCATTTTTGGGAGTTTGGCTGGAATTGTCGGCGAACACATCGAAAATAGAAGATGCTGATGATTGTTGATGAATGTTTTGTAGATTGTAGTTTAACTATTTTGCCGTCTCTTATGACGATTTGACCTTTTTAGTCATTTTTACCATATGGCATACAGTATCTTTTGACGGATTTTGTAGAATCCATAAGACCCATATAAAACCATATTGTACGATATCGTATGATAAATGATATGATACTCTCATGTATACTAGTACAGCATTATAAGATCATATCATATGCAGGTACATTTAACATGATTATATAATGCATTCCAAACTAGTTTTGAATGTAACCAACCCATCATACAATTCTACGCTTGCCATACGCAACCAATCTCTTCCATTTCTGTACCCAGAAAATGTTTCGCGCGTGTTGGCGCGGTCTGCAGTTGCCCAAGGATACGGTCCCTAGTAAGAGGCTTTTTATGTGCGGGGAGATCTTGTTTGGCTAAGGGGAGGCGCAAAAAAAGGTTAGGAGCTTGGTCTCTGTTTCTTGCAACCAGTACTTTGTCGGTCTAGCTCGTTTGGCCCCCGTACTTTGTATTCTATCACGGAGTGGGGAAAAATCACATGGTGAAGAGGGTCTGTTGGCGGTGTGGTCAAGGAAATGAGTAACTGATTGAACTGTTGAGCCTGTTGGGCAACAAGTCGTTGTGAAAGTGCAATAGGTCTGCTTGCTCGCACCCAGACTGTCAACCCATAGCACGGTGAAAACCCACCCAGGCCCCTGGCCCGGCGTGGCTCCTTGCGCTGCAGTGCGGCGCCAGGTGCTCGCCGTGTGGCGCGCTGTGCCATCGCTGGCGATGCAGCGAATCGCAGCCGGCGGCTGCGGGCAGAGGGAAGAGCCAAGATGGAAGAAGAACAGAGGAGACAAGAGGTCTGGACGGGATACCCTCCCATTTCAATGGAAAATGGATGAAACTGGTTCATTATACCCATAGGATCCATGTATGCTATATATGGTAACATTATGTAGCATTTACCATCAATATACCCCAAATGTTAGCATATATACAATACATGGATCCTATGGGTTAGAGGAAACCCTCTGTCCAATTATTAACAATTAGCTATGGTTCATAAGTACTGACAATGGTTTCTGGATGGGATACCCTTTGGTAAACTAACATAGCTAATGGAAAATGGACGAACATGGTTCATTTGATAAATTGCGTTGGCAGCCTGGTAAACTCAAGACATCTCAAGACCCAAAATGCGGAACACATTGTTTTAGCAGTGTGTTCATGAATCCCTCTAAACAAAAACACAATTCCAAACGTTTAGCTCCAGCATTCCAACCATGAGATGATAAGGGACATGCTGGCAGGTGTACAATAAATTCCTAGGGCAATGGCCCTTTGTCCATTTGGCGATGTTTGGAGGGTGGGCGCGGAGGAAAAAGCCAGCAAACCACTCAAACCTTCATTGGCCGAAAGGTAAGCTCAAAAGCCCCGACCGACAACATCCCAATCCCAAAGCGCTAGATTTTAATTTATTTAGCCTCATTGCGCAGAAACATGTTTTCAATAAATGGTTTGTGCTGACAGTACATTAATTGCATTTGTTTATTCTGTCATGCGCGTAGAGCACCATTTTCAGTCTCTGGATTTGGGTTATATATATTTTTTAAATATACTGCTGTTTACTAGGTTAAAAACGGGCAAACACGTTCAGTTCTTAATGCTCGTATGTTTTTGGATTATGGCGAACTTGGATGTGCTGAACATTGCAGAACCGTAGGCTACGAACGCGTGGTGTTGCGAGCGTCAGCAAAAAGAAGCGCTTGGGAGAGGAAAAGGTCGCTACCCAACAAAAACAATTTTGACGATGGGGGAAATGAACATCTACAAAAGGTTGGGGCACACCAAATTAATTTTGACAAGGGGGGAACCGTTTTTGCAAAAAGGTTGCTACAGACCAATGTATTTTTTTAAAAAAGTTGAGATTTCTGCACTAGGTTGTGGTACAGGATTTTAATTTTCCACATGTAGAAGGGGGGGTGTGAGCCAAATGTCAAGGAACAGGACAATAATTTTGGTCATAGATCAAGAGGGGGGGTAAAGTTGTTCTAAGTTGCTCTATAAGGGGAAGTCAAGGCCCATGGATATTAAGTTTCTAAAGGTTGATACTGGCGCATTTCGCGGCCTGCCTGCCGACACCGCGCCTGCGGGGCGCAGTTACGGCCATGGCCGAGAGGGCTGCCACACTGGCCCATCTCCTGATTGAAGGAGGAGAACAGGCGGCTGTTGGCCATGACGCTCTGATCCATGAGTTGGTAAGGGGGGGGGCGATGTGGCCAGGATGCCGATGTCAGGCACGCCAACTCCAACTCCAGCAGAGTTGCGACTGCAGGTCTCGGCCTCGCCCAGGGGGAACTCAGCCACCGATTGCATCACTACATGTGCAAAGTGTGCATGTTTACTATCGGTGCATGGACACGCTACCTACATACATGCAAATCTGGCATATCTGTAAACTGCATGCGCACATGCACACTTGCATACCACCTGAATTGCTGGATGTAATCAAGCACTCATCTCCGTATTGAAGGAAGAGAATCGGCGGCAGATAGCCATTGTCGAAGAGCGAAATGCTTCAGCCTCAATCGTGGGGCGTATTAGCAACACTGATTGGATGATGAAGTCTATCACAATAGTTTGGAAAGAGACTTGGGTGTTGGTATTCGCTTTGCTTGTGTAAACATTGCAAAGGCAAAGCATCGTCTGCAGGCTCTTATCCACGAGTTGGTGAGGGGGGGAAACTATAGGAGCAGTGAGTTGTTGTGACGCATGGATGGCAGAGCGAATTCACTGATGGACCGAAAGGTGGTTGCGATTTTCGAGTGGTTGCAATGGTCGCCTCACCCACAACTGCAGGATGTAGTGTGGTGTACCGAAGTGCAATGTAATCATAGTTGTAGTTTACTTGATGTTGTTTGAAGTTGTAATGTTGTAGTTGATACCCATCGAATTAATAAGATTATTTTCCTTGATTGGACTTTCCCGTGTAGTACCAACGGTGGTATGTGTTTCAAAGGTTTCAAGATTTTCCCAACAAAACCAACCCATTTAAATCCGCCAAATTTTGTCTTCTATGAATTCCAATTCAAAGATCCAATTCAAAATCACCAAATCACCATTAAATCCTCGTGAAATCACCATCAAACCATCATTTTTTGATTCGCGCCGTCGCAGGTTGCCACGCTTCCCAGCAGCTCGTCGCGGTTCGCGGAGGTCTTGGACGCCCTGGGCGTGGCGTTGCTGGCGCAGGGGCGACCGCAGGAGGCGGAAGAGGCCTTCCGCGGGGCCCTTCAGATGGCAGAGCCCATGGACGCGGAGTGGGCATCCAATAACCTGGCAGTGGCCTTGAAAGCGCAGGGCAGCGAACGCTATGGCGCCTTGGGGAAATTGCGAAGGGTTTGGGGGATGGAAAAAACAAAGTTCTATGGTGTTTATGCGTTTATTATATCATATGTATATCTATCTATCTATCTATCTATCTATATATATTTATATTTATATTTATAAAATATTATGTACATTATATGTATATACTACATGGACATCTATTTTAAATATATATATATACATTATAGTATAACATATTTTTTAATGTTCTCACTCCTGTACTAGTACTACTCCTATTTTCATTTTTATTTTTTTTATTTTTATCATTTTTACTTTTACTGTTGCATTCTTAATATATTGCTTCTTATATATATATACACATTGTCATTGTTATTATTACTATAATTATAATTATCATTACAGCTACTATCATTATTCTTATTATTATCATTTTTATTAGCAATATTTTATTATTATTCATTATATATATATATTGTACGTATTATGTGTTCATTTATGTATATACATACTGAGAACTTTTAATTGAGAAATCATGGCTGAGTTGTTTTGATTATAGTTGTATGTTGGATTGATGGTGAAGGGAAATGGAGCTGACATATCTATAGGGGAACCGGGGATGAGAGCCCGGATCCACCAAAGGAGAAGCGGAGCAAATCTATCGCGCGACCTTGAAACGGAGGCAAGACTCTTGGCGCAGTTTGTTGGTGAGGTCAAAACCATGTCCAACAAAATGGGGGAGTTCAGCACATTTCAGCACTATCAAGTGGGGATATACCTAATAGTTTCTAATATACTGTACCCAGTGACTCTATGCAGTGTTTAAGACGGTGACCAGTAACCAGTTTTACTTTATATCATTTTATATCTACAACGTAACGCTACTTAATATAGCCAATTGTTCTGATCTGTTCTGTATAAAAGTTCCGTGTAGAATCACCAGGAAACATATTTCAGTGGTGAGTTGTTCGAGTGTCTAGACGCAGCAGGGCAGCAATGCGCAACAAACCCCAAAAAAACGGAGTCATGAAACATGGATCCGACGCCTCGGAAACGGTGATGTACATGTGTGTAAATGTTTGTAAATCTACTTTTCAACATCATCCTGGCATTCCTGTTCTATCCTTTTTGGACCCCTGTACACAGCTGCTTGGCCAAGCCTTGGAAGCCAGTCCAGTTGATATTTTGAGCTGGCATTATAAGAATGGTTGCCCTCCGGTCATTTGCAGCAGTTGCTATGGAATCCATGGCCCATTCAGCTTGATTTTCCTATTAAACATGCTGATTTTGGATTTTACATAGCTATGTTAAGGTACCGGTTGGTGATATTCCCGCGAGCCTGGGAGCTTTGAAGAGACCAGCCGCAACAAAGATTAATCAATTTGTATGTGTATAAGGATGATATTTCAACAACAACTCCTGTGACCTTAAAAACCACCCAAGAAATGAAGTTGCAGAGCCTCCAATCATCTCCGATCTTGATTTACCATATTGATTTACGCATATTGCAGAGCTTTCCCCAAATCTCTGAGCCCCAGCATTTCTTGCGTTCAGGAACGGAAATCTGGAGAAAGTCCAGAGATTCTGACGAGTCTTAACAACTTGGCCGTCCTTCTCAAAGCAGAAGGCGCCTGGGACCTGGTGGTTTCCATGGAGGCTAGGAAGCTTGGTTTGAAATAGGAACAAACTCTCAGAGTTCAAAGTCTGTAAAAATATATACCTCTATATATATATACACATACATATATATATATATATACATATATATATACATATATACACACATATATATATATACATATATATATATATAAATACATATATATATAAATGCATATATATATATATGATATGACATAAAATGTAGATAACAACTATATATATATATAAATGTTTTTGGGTCAACACTGAACACTGAAAAGTAGGCAAACCACATAGATGCCAAATTCGGATTGCGTGACTCATTGCCAGTGTCAATCACGGCTTTTCAAGCAGCAACTACAGGATATGCATAGAAGGTTCCATATTGCTAGAACTTAGATTTTCTTTCATGTTTTCAGAATGTTAAACATGCTTACCCTCTGGCAATCAATCACGGCTGGAAAATTCCCCCGGTGATGATTTTCCCACTTAAACCTCCATTATTGCTGGGAATTTCCCAGCTTGCCACGTTGGCACTGGAAGTTTCATATGTTACCCATATTCCATTCATAATCACATATCCCCGTTTGCGGATTCACCACTATTATACACTCCATTATTTATCCCTATGATATTCTCCTTATACCACCATTTATGTGAGTTAAGGTGCCAGAAGTCATATCCAAGTATTATCAATGACTATATTATACCTGATTTAATATCCCTATATAGAATTACTAATATCAAGGATAAGTAGCCGGATAAGTATTAGAATAATCCATTCTTATATTATTATATTCCCATTATCGCAATATACATTTATCATTATATCACAATCACATTGAACCCTTATCAGTATCTCATATACCCATTATTATTCCTATGTTTCCCTATTATTTCCCAACATTTTTGTTACCATCTGGCCAACTAACATAACTATGGAAAATCACCATGTTTAATGGGTAAATCAACTATTTCGACTGGGCCATTTTCAATAGCTATGTTAGTTTACCAGAGGGTATATATAACTGGTTGGTGGTTTCAACCCCTCTGAAAAAATATGAAAATCAGTTGGGATGATTATTCCTAATATATGGAACAATGGCTCAAATCAACCTCACCCAGACCTCCGTTCCTCCAGCTTCGGTCAAGGCCAATGGCCCGAGGCCGAAGAGCTCTACCGCCAGGCGCTGCAGGGGCGCAGGCGCCTCTTGGGAACCTCGGGCAGGTGGCAGCTGGGGTGCCAGTTTCGTTTTAAGATTTTTAAGGTGATGGAGAAGGAACATACTGGGACAAAGATTGACAAAATCACATGGTAAGATATGGATATATACATATATTAATGTCAATGATCATATATCATAGAATAATTTTGTGAGAGGGAACATCTCATGAAGGGACGCTTTCCCATGAAATGGTAGGATACTGGAGTATATGGGAGAGACAAGGCAATAATAGGGAAGTTGCTCAGAAAAAAATGAATTGTTGGGGGGACTGTGTGAGGAAAAATGATGGTGGGCCAAATAATCATTAAGGGCTGCCGCCCCTGCCGCGACCCCGGGCAATTGGTTTTTCGTTCGAAGCGGGCAATGGAAAATACGTTCAGACCTCGAGTTAAGCGGTTCTTCTGTCGCCTGTTCCACACTGAACATTCTCCAGGTGCAATGGCAGCGCTCTGGGAAGAGCCAGATTATCACGTAATGGAACCCGCATTAATATGCACAGCCACCTAAGACTTAAACTGGTTTGGGGATGTTTGCACTGGCAAAGTGGACAGATAGAGCCATTGGTCCACATGTGGAATGCAGCGTCCAAGCCAACAGTGAAGGTTTCACCACGCCGGGCCAGGGCCAGTTGTCACTGTCTAACGTCGCTTTCTGCCAGCAGTAAAACAAGCGTTGTCGAGCCACGCAGGCAGCCCCCCAAGGCTGGCTTCGCCACGCTTAAACAGCATGGCAGTGAAGGTTTCACCGCGCGGGGCAAGGGCCAGCTGTCACTGCCTAACGTCGCTTTCTGCCAGCAGTAAAATAAGAGTTGTCGAGCCACGCAGGCAGCCCCCCAAGGCTGGCTTCGCCACGCTTAAACAACATGGCAGTGAAGGTTTCACCACGCCGGGCCAGGGCCAGTTGTCACTGTCAAACATCGGTTTTAGCCAGCAGTAAAACAAGCGTTGTCGAGCCATGCAGGCGGCCCCCAAAGGCTGGCTTCGCCACGCTTAAACAGCATGGCAGTGAAGGTTTCACCGCGCCGGGCCAGCAGTAAAACAAAAATTGTCAAGCCATGCCGGCAGCCCCCCAAAAGCTGGCTTCGCCATGCTTAAACAGCATGGCAGTGAAGGCACCGCGCGAGGCCGGGCCAGCTGTCACTGCCTACTGTCGCTTTCTGCCAGCAGTAAAATAAGAGTTGTCGAGCCACGCAGGCAGCCCCACAAGGCTGGCTTCGCCACGCTTAAACAGCATGGCAGTGAAGGTTTCAACGCGCCGGGCCAGGGCCAGCTGTCACTGTCTAACATCGGTTTTAGCCAGTCAGCAGTAAAACAAGAGTTGTCGAGCCATGCAGGCAGCCCCCAAAGGTTGCCTTGCCAGGGCCAGCTGTCAGTGTCTAACGTCGCTTTCTGCCCGCCATAAAAGAGGAGTTGTCGAGCCATGCAGGCAGCCCCCCAAGGCTGGCTTCGCCACGCTTAAACAGCATGGCAGTGAAGGTTTCACCGCGCCGGGCCAGCAGTAAAACAAAAGCTGTCGAGCCATGCAATGCCGCCAGCCCCCCAAAAGCTGGCTTCAGGCCCAGCTGTCCGCCAGGGAGGGTTTAAAGGCAAGCTAGTGCCATAACGTTGCTTTCTGAAGCCAGAGCTGCAAAGAAACGTCGAAAACCCGGGATGCTGCATACCTCAGAACTGCCATTAGACACCTTTTCTGTGTTCGGGTTGTGTGCTGTGTGTTAGTTCGGGATCTAAGGGAAGATTCGAAGGCCTTCACTGACGGCGCCCGCATGGCCGCTGCCTCCGGAACGGCACCTTTTCTCGGGCGCGCTGCCCCTGCGGTTGGCTGGGGTCGGCGGATAATGGACATATAAAGATCATGATATATAAAGATGGTTTTTGACGACGATGCAAATGTGGGATAACCGCACTCACCAATAGGGTTTCAATGCATTGGCAAAGATGGGCAGTATCAAGGAAACAAAAACCAACCCTAAACCAATCCGAAATAAACACTAAAACAAACCTAAAGAAACTCGAATGAAATGGACCCTAGTCGCAAAAAAACATCCAACATGAAAAAATTGCGCACCAAAATGTTGCAAATACCATGGCGAATTAGAGGTTCGAACTCCAAAATGTTGCAATAATACCGTTGAAATGTCAGCTTCCAGCTCCAAAATGTAAGGAAAACGGACAGAACAGCAGATCCAGAAAAAGATCCCAAAACGGATAAACAAAAACAATTCCCAAAACAATTCCGGACCCATAACAAAATGTGGTTTTAATTTATGTATTGGTTAGACATGTACACTTTATGAGGTGGACATTCCTTGCTAAATTTCCTGCACAACCTACATACCCTCCCGTAATTTCACATAGTTATGGGAAAATCGCCATTGTTTTTGATGATTTACCTCTTGAAATTGGTGATTTTCCAGTTTGCTATGCCACAAATTACCAGAGGGTGGGTCAGTTAGCCACTGAAACCCAGGAAATCTGCATCCAGACACCCTGACGTCCCTCGGCCGGAAGCGAGGTTGAGACAAATTGAAAGTCCAGAGGTCCACGAAGTCTCGTTAAATTTCCAATACTATCAATCACTATCCCATCAAATCCCATCAAATCCCGCTACATATTCACATATTCAATGTGGATTTGACGCATTTTACCTCTGTGAAACCTCGTTTTGGATCCTAGAATGGAACCTTGTCTTCCCTAGATCTGCAAGGTAATGTTTTGGCGAAAATTGAAGATTTGATCGACAAGAACATTATGAATTACGAATATGTCTCCCTTGATCTACCCAAGAGTAAATCATAACATATCATAACCAAGAAGGGATGGGAAGTAGAGTTTAAGAATGTTCAAGATCAAAGGAACTATTTTGGACATGATTCTCAGATGTTATAAGAAAGGAATGTTAAAGTAGAGTCTTTTCTCAAGTTTGAGGAAGTCTGAAAGGACATTTTCAGTCAGTGACAGCCCACTTCCTGAGGAGCATCAACAACCTGGCCACCCTCCTGTCCGGCACTGGCCGCAGTGAAGAGGCCGAAGGGCTCTATCAGGAGGTGCCGCGGAGGGAGGATGAGATGGTTTGATACGGTGAGTGCCTTGGATGGCTGGGATTTGCTGAAAATAATGTGAGTTTTATGTTTTTTTTTTTAATTCCTTTCCATTCTTGTCCTATATATTATATATTGAAACTGCCGGTGTCCTAAAGATTTTCCCGGCCAAATTCTGAAACCAATCCCATCCCACTGAGTGTGTTGTTATCCCAGAATTTTAGCCCAGTTTAGCTCTTCAGAGCGTGCAATGACGCTGGAAAGCTCGGGCTCGGGCCCAAAGAGGGCCCAAAATCGATACAGAAGTGATACACGGTGGGCACCCCTGGTTGTAAGATAATTAAGATGTTATAAGATGCTATATAAGTTTGTTTATGGCTCCCCTTTCAGTATAGTTATATCATGTTATACCCCTCTATAAACGAAACCCCACTTTGCACCGGTTCAGGGACGATTCCAAGAGATTCTCCATGCCTTTCGCGCAGGCTCTGGAGGGATGTCGGAAGACGCTGGGTGAAGATGATCTTGAGCCTTGGTGCCGTGGCCGTGGTGCAGGTCAACTCGAGGGGTAAAGTCAGGAAGTTGGTGGTATCTTTGGAAATGATAGATGGGTAGTGATGGGGATAGTTTTTTTGACTATATACTAACCAGCAAAACAAACACTTAGGGAAAAAACAAACGGGGCATCTAAGATTGGGAATGGTGATCTATCTATCTTACCCACCATTGTCATCGTTTTGCCGCTTAGCCATCAAACACATGGGGTCTTAGCTTGGATGCAGGGACCCATGAATCATAAGTGGTTAAACAAATTGGTCATCGAAGGATGTTACTGGCAGGGTCTGGTATGGGTCGAAATTTATCATCCCAAAAGCCGCAGATCCAGTCAATTTTTCGATTTTTTATGACAGTTCTGTGAGTACATACTGGATCATAGATCAATTTACTATATTTACTAGATCTCCATTGTGGTTATGACCTGGCCAAAGCTCCGGGAATTTTCTGGCTTGCGAAGGTTCCCAGCGCCGAACTTAGGACACGCTCTTCAGTGAAGATAATCTTGGCGCCTTGCTGTTTCGCGAAGGCAGACCTCACGGTGGGACTGGTGGTTCAATAGTGGTTTCATAGCGATGCAAGCATAAAGAATAGGGCATAACAAACCAAACATGGGAGTCTCATGGAAGTATTGATGGAATATATATACACATAGTTGATTATAGTTGCAAAATGTAATTATATCATATACGGTAGTTGGGTTGTTGGGTTTAATCAAACGATTTTCATGAGAACTGGTTGAAGCAACTGCATGGGTAGGGATTTGACCATCCAAAATCCGGGTTGAAGCAACAAGTTGTGAATGAGGTTGATTGTAATACATGGGGGTAAACCAGCTAGTGATGGGAATGCGACGGATAGTTTAGCAGCTTAGCATTTTATAATGCGTTCATATGGTTTGCCTTATATAAATGGGAATGAATACTTCCCTTATAGCCAGCTAAAAGCCTTTTTGTTAGAAGGTGTCTAAAATTGGCCATGTGTGGGATATGCCTTGATAGTTTTTTTTTTTTAATCTTGCTATATTAATGGACAAACAAATCAGATGGAGGAGTATCATATCCAATCATATCCCACACGAATAGTTTTTTTTTGCAGGGCACCAAAGCAAAGAATCGCCATGACATAATATTCAAAAGACTTAAAAGACAATCATTGAGAGGGCTGAGAAAAGGAGGTGCGTTTGCAACAGAGGCTTTCAGATGGTTCAGAAGGACTCCTCAGCAAAACAGCCACATGTCTATATACCAGCAATACGGAAACAGAAACAAATCAGCAGAGAAGCAAAGTCCTTGCGAAGCTACAGACAGGGAAAAAGATGGAAAAAACATGTACACCATCCTCTAGCAATTACAATCATGATCACACATTGAGCTAGATAAGCTAGATAAGTCAACCAACTTTTCAGAATCATCTCAGTTCAACAGGTACAATTCTGGAGATCCCAGGTATAACTCAGTTAATGTCAACCATGGTTTATTAATTAGGGGGGTACTCCTCCAATAGTCATATTCTGATACTTAAATGGTACCCCCCCAATTAAACAACCCAGTGGTTTATTAATCCAGGGTCGACATTAACCCAAACTCATCCCAAAGGTCGCCCCGGAGATGCGGAACCCTACTTTCGCCGAGCGCAGCAAGGCCTGTCCAAGAAATTAGGACAGCGACCGCGGTCAGCTGCGGTCAGCGGCGCTGGAAGGGAAGGGCTACTGTAGCCGGCTGGTGAGCTGCCTATTGACCTCTGTTCAACCATGGAAATCCCGGCGAAATCGGCAATCAGTTGGATATCAGTTGGATTGTTGGTTGAATCAAAAATCACTTCTTTGCAGAGGCAGCATCCGAAAAAAAAAGAAATGGCCCACAGATCTGCCCAGCAATATCGATGATTAAACGTGACGCAGTCCGAAGACTTTGAGATCATTTTGCCTGCGACCTAGAGTTCTCTGCAGACTTCCGGTGGATAAATAAACACCTGATTCACCTACTTCTAGAGCAACATAGCTTAGGGGGCACCAGTACTGCTGGCCTTCGGATCGTTTTTTTGTTGCTTGGATTTGATGGGTGGGGGTTAGCTATTATGGGTGTTTCGAATAAATTGCTTCAGTTTTTCCCATAATAAAACATCATATGACCATATATAGCACTATATAGAAAAACAACACAAATATGAAAAAACATCTAAACACTATATTTCGAACATTTTGGAGCTATATGTCACATCCCAAAGCCGGAGGTTTTTCCCAACAAATGCCGGGAATCCTATAGGAGCCTTGGACCCTGAAGCGCTGCGGTGCGAGGCGACGCTGACAGGTTTGCCCCAGTAGATCCTGGTAGCTTTTCATGCCAAGATGTGGTAAAATCCATAAATTAAAGTGGAAAACATGGAAGATTGGTCAAATCCAGCAAAATCAATTTTAATGCCAAGATTGGTAAACATCAGTTCATGAACTATTAGAACTATACCATCATACCATATGAACATCAGTCAAAAACTGATTGAACATTGAGAGTAAGATTTGGGTAGACACGTGGTGAAACATTGGTGAATGGGGTGTTTTGTAACGAGTTTTTTGATGGAAATCCAATGCCCAGGAGTAGCAACGGACCTACAAACTCTTTTACTTTTCAGGTCAAGAGTTTCAGGCCATTGCCACCTGGGTAAACAAACTAATCAGTTGGATGTATTGGACAATGTTGGTTCAAAGGTAATAAAGGGGATGAGAAGCAAACAAGTGGGAATTTTAGTAAATTTTACCGACTAAAAACTGGTGATATAAGCGACGCGTGCCTGTGTAAATGAACTGATTCGATGGATTTCGATGGAGAATAGTTGATCCCTGTTGATCAGAGTGAAAATCAACCTGTTTAAGCTATTCATATTCATTGTATATTCATATTCATTGATATATCACCAGCATATTCATATTCATATTCATTGTACAACAGTCATCTCAAAATACATCGCTATTTTCTGGGTCAACCCTGGCTTGGTCCTTTAGTACATGGGGATACATTGGGCTCAACGACAAAAGAACACAGCTTTCGAAAGGCATGTCTAAGATTGGGAAATGTACTTTAATTGGACTCCAGTTTTTTCCATACGAGTCATATTGTTTGACCGCCACATTTATTGTGTTTGTCTATATATATATAATATTATTTGATTAGTTGCAACCATATAAATATTCATAAATGCCATAAATCGACCTGATTTTCAAGTTGGTGCTATATGATCGTTATATATATATACACATACACATCCATAACATTACATAACACAACATAATACAACATAACATAACATCACATTACTGCACATTACAGTACAATACATGTGCAGAACACCATACCTACAGTACATAGCAAATACCTTTAATGTGGGTAAAACAATGCCATAAACCATCCCCCAGTCATCACCATTTTTAGAGGTGGTATATATAAACCATTCCCAGTCATGGGTGGTTTATGGCATTGTTTTTCCCACGTTAAAACCCAATTATATCCCATTAATTGGTCCACTATCCCCATTATATCCAATGATACTCCCATTTATTATTTGTTGGTTGTTGGTTGAATCCCATTAAAATCCCATTAAATCCCATTAACATATCCCACTGATGGTTAAATCCCATTATATCCCATTATAATCCCAATGATGTTCAATGGGGATTTAAATGATCCCATTGATGGTTAGATCCCATTATTATACCATTAAATCCCATTAAAATATCCCATTGATAGTAAAATCCCATTATAATCCCAATGATGGTCAATGGGGATTTAAATAATACCATTGATGGTTAAATACCATTATTAAATATTATTATACCATTAAAACCCCATTAACATATGATAGGTTATAATTTCCATAGGTCGAATCATTACATAAATCGCATTAAAATCACATAAAATCCAATTATATAACATATCAGCCATATGTAATATCCAATACCTTTACATACCTTTACATCCATCATTCCAGGACAACCTTGCGGTGACTCTCATGGCACTTGAGCGCTTGGACGAAGCCGAGCCGCTTTTGCGCAATGCGGTGGAAGGTGGCTGGAGACGGCGGTGGCCGTGAGCAACGGTGGATTTTATGGTTTTTCATGGGAGTTTATGGTTGTTAAATTGCAAATTTACGAAGTACATGAGATTTCATGGCCATGTGAGGAATTCATGGGATTTCATGATGTTATTGTGGTGATTTAATGGGATGTCATGGTGATTTAATATGTTTAAAGGGACTTAATGATCGTTTTTGGTGGTTTATATAATGGATTTGTTTACAAACCAAATTAATTAATATGATAGTTGAGTTTGTTTGACATTGACAAAACACATTTGGTTTAATGATATATATATATCATTCGATATTTCCAGGGATATTTCATGGGATACATAGCTATGACCAACTTGATACTGTACGGTAAATGGATTTATCTCAAAATGTGGTATAGCCCCAATTCATGGCCATTGCAAATGGGAACATTATCATCAATACGATGCTGTAATCATTAAGTTTGCGGGTTCCCTATTTCCAGACTTTCCCAAATGTACTTGCAAGATCCGTATATCTGAAATAAGTAGAAAAGAGATGAACATATTGGATGCTTCCATTTTTTTTTTGAGGTTACACATTTTTTGGATCCATGTGAATCGGACACTACTGACGGAAATTCTGGATGAGCAATGCTCTGTGTTCACTGCGTCGGTTTATGGGATTGATTTTCCATGATTTTCCCATGAAGGCCTCCATTGAGTTCGAGGATTCCCCAATTGCCGCGTTTGATTGCCCGAGGGTAATTACATTTGATTCCCATCAATTGGTTAGATATCCCTGATAATTGTTGTGATATTTCTGCAATGCTAAGCATTGGCGTGCAAGTTAATCAGCTATTTATAGAATTCCACACATGTAGCAGATGGTAAATGTGCATCCCTGAACAATTAACCTGAACTGATAAATTAGGGGAGTTACCCTTTGGCAATTTTGATAGCTATGGAAAATCACCATTGTGATAGGTAATCCATCGAACCAAATAAGGCACTTCCCAGAGCAAACTGTTAAATTAGCGGGGGGGTAAAAAAAAAGTGATCATTTTTTATTGACATCGACCCTTGCAATTTGATGGTTGTATATGTTGGGTTCTGCATTTGGCTAATCAACAAAAATGGCGATAGCATCCGAAGAGTGAAGTCTCAAGGGTATTCTGACCACTTTCAAGGTGAAACAGATTCAGAAATTGGGTGTGTTTCTGTGTTTCTAAGTATATATGGTAGTGATTCCAAAACATTAACTGTTTTGAGCGCCAAATCACGATGTATGCTTCCTGTCAAAAGCTTGGTTGTACACCATCACTTCGTTACTCGAATGGGGTTTTATATGTATATATATATATACATACATACATACATGCATGCATGCATGCATACATACATACATACATAATATATATATATATATATATATTTATACATACATACATGCATGCATGCATGCATACATACATAATATATATATATATATACTATCAGGGTACATCGGTGCATGACCATTTTGTCACATTCTCGTAGCCATGTTTCTGGGGTCGTGAACAGGGGTGAAAAGGAGGTACCAGGCAAGCACAAAGAGAACACAGGATCATCTTGAGGACTGCATGCAGTTTGAGTGGAGCAAGCCTGTTTTTCCCCCGCCTTGAGTGCCATGTCCGCTGCTGATGCAAACGCCGCGGCAGCTGCAGCCCCACCGGCCGCGGCTGATAGGGTTGCTGTGCTGAAGGAAGAGCGCAAAAATTTGAAACGCCAGTTAGCAGCAGCCACCAAAGAACTACAGAACCAGGAGAGTGCATGTAAATGCATGGATACGGTGTCTTTTCGTGAGTGCAGGTGGGACATGTGAACGCTGAACCCATGTTGAAAGACATGTACTCCATAGCCTGCAGGAAAGGAAACGAAGACGTCTTCTACGACAAGCAGGAAAGCTGGATGTGAGTGATTTGACGTGGCTGCTGGCACGTCGCATGCATCCAATGGCAAGCCCGCATGAGTAGAGTCAAGCCGTGCACTATGTGGAAAGCGCCATGCCAAAGACATAGAGCGCTTGGAGTGAGAGCGGCCATGTGAAGGTTCGAAAGCACCATGCCAAAGGCATGGACACTAGGAGGGAAAGCTGGCAACCGCAGACTTGCAAGCGCCATGGTCAAGACATAGAGCGCTTGGAATGAGACCATGTCAAGGCTGAAATCCCAATGCCAAAGGCATAGCGCGGCAGGAGTGAAAGCTGGAAACCGCAGACTTGCAAGCGCCATGTCGAAGACAAAGCGCTTGGAAGACATGCGCGGTCCAGAGACCCCATTTAGAAGACATCCAGGGATACAACGCTAGATAGACAAGATATCTCCCCAAGAATCTTCCCACAAAACATCACCTCCCCAAGAATCTTCCCACACCCCACCTCCAAAACATCACCTGACCCCCCCTGGTATATTATTATAATTCCCAAACGGGGTATGCGGTCCGCTCCTATAAATTCACAGGTAAAGTGGTCCCGCCGACGGCGGGACCGGTCCCGCCTGCAACCTGGAATCGTGGGAATTCCCACATTTTGCGGTCCCGCCGCGGTCCCGCTGCGGTCCCGCCTATAGTAATTGCGTACTGTCGCGCGCAGCAGCAACAGCAGCTTTAAGACATTACCCCCATGCACATCCTTCCCATTCCATCATTTGCAGCGGCCATGTTCCCACATCACATCTACCTCTTTTCCACCCCTTCTTCCAGCTTCCATTCCTTTTTTTTGCAGTGCTGTCGCAGCATGGCGTCTGTGGATCGCACGTGTGCGAAGCGGCAGCCGGAGAGAACTGCAGTCACGTCGGGTGAAAACATGGGCCGTGAGCGGTTTTGTTTCTGGGGCAGACCGTCTCTGTAGATATTGCTACTCAGACACGTGCCTCTACCAGTCACATTTCTCTAGCGGAAATCATCAGCAGCATTCCTGGGTGTCAACGGTCGACACGCTTTTTCCAGACCTGTGGGCCATATGCACGTCCAGTTGTTTGTGACAATGGAATCCTAGCAGACTATCTGCTCCATGTGCTTTTTTCATGCCCAAGCCTGTGACCTGCATTCTGCTTTAAGGACGTGGTGGTGAGTTCCTTGCTGTTTCTAGTGTCAAGCCCTCTCCAAAGGAAATGGGCCACCTGACAGCAAAGCGGGGGGTCGCAAGCAACTTACGTAGCACATCGCATTGGAGCCTTGCACCCAAGACATGCCATGCAGACAGGATGTTTCCGCATTGCACTTGGGCCGCGGCCGAGCCATGAGATCCTCCACGACACGGAAGCGTGCTGCGTGCGGTTCGTTGCGGGAACTGCTGCAAGCCAACCAGCTCGAGGTGCCGAAATTTCGGGGTGAATTGTCTCGCGCCGACTTTGCAGCGCAACGACAGCGCTTGGAGAACTGCACCTTGTCTCCGAGTGACACTCAGAAGCTGCGAGACATCATTGACCTCTATGAGGTGCCTCACCTGTTTGTCGGGTGCTAAAGACTGCGACCCGTTGTTCGGGTCACTTTTCACATTTCCCACCCTGCTGCGACTTGCTCAGCCGTCCTGGTTGGTGCTACCATTCGCTGGGTTTGCACGGCCTTCTGGTTCACACTGTTTCTAATCAGCTTTGCAGGGCGTTGCAGCAGCAGACGAAGCTGGTGCAGCAGCATCGACCCAAGAGGATGTGGATATGGCAGCAGCCCCAGGACCAGTTCAGACCGCAAGTAGTTGCCATTCTGTCCCTGCATCCGGGACGGTGCTTTCCGGAGGGTAAGAGACCTAGAGCAGTGGATGGACATGACATGCATCAGTGACAGTAGGCAAGCCTCAGCCTTGCATGCAGATGGGAGAGACTGAACTAGAAGGGGTATAGTCATGAGTCCTAGTCGCAGCCACTTCATCGGTGCACATTTTTCACAGGTGATGCCCGCCCTTTTCGTCTTCGAGCACGAGCAGTGTTGGTAACCTACAATTCCTTGCAGCTGCAGCTGGCGGATTTCGATGAGTTCCTTACTTGGCTTGCAACGTGTGAGTGGTCGGCAAATGGAGTGCCACGATGGAATCAAGTTTGCGTTCGGAGGATGCTGGCCGTCTACATATTCATTGCTTCCTGGAATTCGCCCGCCCCGTCGACTGGCAATCATGCACGGCGCTCCGTTCCAAGGGCATTCAGCCCAATCTTTCCCCATGTCGGGCACGGGGCGCACGCTGGCGAGATGCGGCAGACCAAGGACATTTTTACGTTTGGGCTGCAAAGGTGCATCTCCGTTGGGTTACCTTGTAACGACATTCTATCTCATGTTGAAAGTTGCAGTTCATGTAGGCCACCTTTGTCACTAATCCGATCGTGTGGCAGCAGCATGAAGTAGCTTCTAGTTGATCATCAGTAGACCTGGCAGCTTTGCAGCAGATCGTGTTTGCAGTCAAACATTTTGTAGGCCACCTTGGTCTGGGCACCCACGAGCCTGATTTGGATGAACTGAACTCATTGGACCGCTATCTACGTGGTTGGTCTTGCATAGGCAATCCTTCTTCTTTGTACGCATTGATTCAAGATTTATCAATATCGATATATCGAAATATATCTCTGCATATAAACATATATATGTGGTGATCCATCTGAAGGTCCTGATAACGAGTTTCAATTGCAAACACAGTTCATTTGTGCTGGGACCCCGCGCGAAAGTTTGTTTGTGAAACAGAAACTGTTTGCTTCGCGAAAGTGTCGCGAACGGTGGCTAGAATGCATCATCCTCATTGTCTACAGTACCGCTTGTTAAGGGCTACCACCGCCTCCCTGCTGTCGGGGGTCCGGCAGGAGACTGGACCGCACATTGGCTTTTCCCTTCATAGGTAGCAGCCAGCTTCCGAAGGTCACGCTTCGCCAGAGCCAAATACCATGGTGGCCAAGCACATCCTTGCACCTGCCGCTGGTCCTGCCTAACGTTGCTTTCTGAAGTCTCAAGAAACAACCGCGAAATGCAGCAGCAAAGCTTCGAACAGGGACACTTT